TTTGTTTTGGAGAGGTTTTTTGCTCTAGGGTGTGTGCACTCACCAGAAAGACAGAGAGAGAGAAAGAAAGCAAGAAATCGCCCCCCAGGGGTGATGGCCACGCCGCAATCCCTTCTCCTCCATTCTCCTCTCGGGATCTTGGGCACGCATGCACACGCCTGGCGTGAGTTTAAGCCACTGGGTCCCGGACGCGAACCACGGTCAACTACGTGGGAGTCCAGTGACATAGCCATTACGCTAACTGCTGGTTCCCAGTAAAAATTCTCTCTAAAAATAAAGAATAATGATGTTGTAGATAACTGTGTGCAGATTTTTGTGTGGACATGTTTCCAGTTCTTTTAATTATATACCAAGGCATGATCGTTTTATGTAAATCACAGACATATTTTATCAGCAAAGATGTCAGTATTTGTCAGTATACGTCTACAAAAGATAAAGATTCTTTTTAAAATTTTTTCATTTAAGTTTATTCATTTATTTATTCATTTGTTTATTTCAATTTGACCAGAGAGGGAGAGAGAGAGAGAGAGAGAGAGAAAGCAAGCCGCAAGGTCAGTAACTTGAACCCCCGACGGCCATATGGGAATCCAGCGCCCTTAACCACCACGCCACCTGCTGGCCCCAAGATAAAGATTCTTTTAAAAATACATAACTAGGACGCCCTTATCACACCTTAAAAAGGAAATATTTATTTTACTATGATCAAATATTGTTAGATTCAATTTAAAAACATAGAGCACTCAAACACATAATCCTACAATTTTCAGGCAGCGATTTAGCGTTTTTGATGAACATAACTTTTTCTGAGTCTCCGTACAACCCAGTGCCAGTGGCCTCCCGAGAGCTGCAGCTTTTACTGAATAAATTAAGATTAGATAAAGATATTCGTCACTATTTTTCCGATGAGAGCATTTGTCGGAAAGTGCTCGCAGGCTGGAGGCAATGGTTCAAGCACAAGTCCTGGAGCCCGACCTAAATCACTCCGTATCTACCCGCTGTGTGGCCCAGGGCAAGTTACCTAATCCCTCTGAGCTGTTGGACTCAGGCCCTACCTCCTAAGTAGGGCCCATAGAGACGATGGGGGGCTGTCGTCAGTATTTTCCCCCGACTCCAAACCCGGTGCTATATTCACCACAAAGGCAACCAACACCGGAGGCACCCCCGGGTCGGACCAGACACACACGTGGCTGGCCGGCAGTGAGCACAGCTCGCCCCATTTCCTCCCTCCACCCCGCAGCCCGGGTCTCACCTGCTCCGGGCCCTGAAGGTCTCAGGACGCTGCGGCTGCACGCAGACACCAGCCGCCCGAAGGTGACTGTCAGGGCTGCGGCGGCCGCCGGCGGCCGCCACTCCCCCTCCGCCCCGGC